CCTGTCTCCCGTGTCTTGTCACCTGTCTCCCATCTCTTGTCACCTGTCTCCCGTCTACCCGTCTGCTGTCTCCCGTGTCTTGTCTCCTGTCTCCCGTGTCTTGTCACCTGTCTCCCGTCCCCTCACCTGGGTGATGTCATCGTTGAGGAGGTGGGTCAGCAGCTCGTCCTCCCGACGAGTCACTTCATTCAGAGACGAGACACAAAGAGAGTCCAGAGAGACGAGTCGAGTCTCCAGCTGCACCACTCTGAAACATGTCCAACCCTACAGGTACACAAAGTACTCAGATCCTGTACTACTACTACAAGTACAGCAATGTACGACAAGGAGTACAAGTACAAGTCCTGCATTCAAAGTATTACTTTATGGACAAATACAGAAGTATTATTGGTAAAATATAGTTAAAGTATCTACAGTAAAAGTACACAAGTATTATCATCTTCATATAGTGAAAGTATAATCCTTCATCAGCAGTAAAAGTACACAAGTTGTACTGGTGTCAAGTATCTAAAGTACTGGTCTCTGATCTGAGACATGAATCTGATGAATGTAGTAAAAAGTACTATTAGCTCTGAGATGTACACAGAGTAAATACTGAAGTACAGGAGCTCCTTGTGGTACTTCAGTATAGTACTGCAGTAAAAGTACTCACACTGATGGCGACAGCGGAGCAGATTTCTGTCCTCAGTGTTGAAGCCGTTTCCAACAGACTCTGGATCTGTTTCTCTCTGAGTCCACTCTGATCAGCCTCACTGGATCCACACGGATCAGCGGGACCAGTTCCAGGGTCCGACTGGAGCAGCGCCTCCAGCTGGACTCACAGACAACAACACGCACACTAGTAATGAATACTTTTACTGCGTCCAACAGTCAGACTCACGTATATATAACAGTATATGACGGTGTGGAGTCAGGACGGGTTTTTATTGGAACGATAAATTATTGTTTTTCTCTTTAAACTAATCTGTCGATCACAATCAGAACAGAACTTCCTCAAATGTCCACTAGAGGCTCCTAAAGAGCCGATCCTCATAGACCTCCATGTTAAAATCAACTTTACAGCCTGAAACTAAAAACAGTTTTATTCTCTTTAAATAATATCAGAATCAGAATCAGCTTTACTGTCCATGTTTGCGTACGCAATAAACAAGAAAACAGAACAGATGTAGGTATAAACTAGTGCTGGGATTAATGGCTGTGGTGGTTGAGCGCTGCTGCAGAGTGGACAGAGGGGGGGGGGGGGGGGGGGGTTCAGGGAACGGTGCCGGGTAGAGGCTTAATGAGCCGCAGCTGAAGCCGATCTTTAATCGTGTCTCCTCTCCCATATAAACACGAGTAGTGACGGAGGCGCGAGAGGGAAAATGCCAGACGGAGACACCGGCTGGAGAGGCGACAGAGAGGACGACAGATCATCCCGAGAAAGGCGTGCACGTGCAGGACTGTAGCTCCAGCTTTGCCTCGTTGGTCCATCTCCTCAGTCTTCACCTCATCCTTTGCAGATTTTAGTTTCTGCCTGCAGGTCGGGAGGAGATGGACCAGACAGTGATCAGAGAGTCCCAGAGCTGCATGGGGGACTGAGTGAGATGCGTCCTTCATTACAGTGGAGCAGTGGTCCAGTGTGTTTCTGTTCCTAGTGCTACACTTTATATGCTGTCTATATTTAGGCAGTTCTTTGCTGAGGTTTGCTCTGTTGAAGTCCCCAAGAACAATGAGCAGGGAGTCTGGGTGTTTGTGCTCCGTGTTGGTGATCTGCTCAGCAGGTGTTGAGGGCCTCACTCACACAGGCCTGAGGCTGTAGACACCGACCAGGATGAAGGAGAACTCCCGTGGTGATGGAATATGATGGTTCATGAAAACCGTTTGTACAACTCACCTGTTTGAATTTAGTCTTAAAGGTAGATATGATTACTGGCGTGGCCTCTTTGAGTGACAGGTGGGTGTGGTCTCAGGACTGTAGTGACAACTCACATGGCTAGTTTGAAAACTGCTGCAGCCGGTGAGCTAACCGCTAACTCGTTAGCCAGCTAGTTTCTTTATATTTATATTATATTATATTTTTTGCTCTCAGGGTTGTTCATCATTTTATTTCAGTGGCGTTAATGACGAACACGATGCAACAGAACAGATAGTGAATGTGAAATACACTTAAATGAATTCAGATTAACGGCTGTTAAACATGTTTCTCTCTGACGCTCCTCAGCAGAACAGCTGACCTGTTTGGCTGTGAGGTGGAAGCTGCTGCTCAGGTCCAGGATGGACTCGCTCTGATGGATCTTGTTCTTCACTTTCTCCTGGAGCTTCAGCAGCTTGGACAGATCCTCCTCCTTCACTCCCTTCGACTCCTCCACCTCCAGCCGGTCCTGGACGCCGCTCAGAGTCTCCCAGCTCTTCCCCATGAACTCCACCTCGGCGTCGAGGCGCTGGAGAAGGAAAGAGAGCATGTCTGATGCTGAAACAGAAACGTTCTTGTAGTCCCTACAAGTAGTCCATGGACTTCAGAAGACCTAGTGGTCTCGTAGATTCCTACATGTGCTAAAGTCTTAGGAGTCCCCACAGTCCTAAAGACCCAGTAGTCCTTAATGTCACAATCCCAAGGGTCCCAAATTCTAGCTGTAACCACAGTCCAACAATCACAGCTGTCCCAGGAGGCCCGATGGTACTGGTTCTGGACCATTGGAACACCAGGGACTCCTGTGATTACACTTCCAGTAGTCCAAAAGACTCAATGGTCCCAACAGTCCAACGGACCCAACAGTCCAGCTGTCCCGCTGGTTCCAAGGACCCAACAGTCCCTACAGATAAAAAGTCGCAATGGTCCAAAAGTCCTAGCAACAGTCCTCATGATGAAAAAGTCCCAATAATGTCCCAGCTGTTCAAAGACTTACGGTAAAATGTGGTCTGGCCTGGCTGTAGTGCTCCAGCAGCCTGGAGGTCTCCAGGTCTGAACCCAGATCTATCAGAGTGCAGGAGTCCAGCATCTCAGAGACGCAGTTCAAGTCCTGCAGGGTCTGGAAACACAAAGCATTCTGGTACCCGGGTACAATGACTCTGCAGTATCAGATTCAGCACCACCAGAGTAGTTCCTACCTTGTCCAGTCTCTCCTGGTATTTCCTGCAGTACTGGTGCTGCTGGATCTGGATTTGTTGGTGACTCCGCAGCTCGTTCACTTCCTGTTTGGTTCTGCCGAGTCGCTCCACCGTCTGCTGCACCGCCGACACCAGCGACTGCGGGTTCAACGCTCCCGACACCTGACACAACACATAAAAGAACGTCTAACTGAACTCTTCTTTATGGTTCACGGAACCTTCTCGTACAGATGTATGACTTCTCATCTGAACCCTCGACGGCTGACTGGTTACCGTTGCGACAGTCTGGACGCAGTTGGCTCCCAGTTCCTGACAGGTGAGGATCTTCTGTAGCGTTTCCTGCCAGCAGGCGTCCAGCTGCTTCTTCTTCCTCTTCCTGGAACTACCTGCTTCCTCTTCCTCCGATCTCTTCCTGTAGATCTCCATGAGTTCTTCCATCTCCTCCTCCACCTGAAGAACAGCAGCACCATCAGCTAACAGCACAGTTCATCACTCCTCTGACGGACTCAACAGGTCTCCACAGAGCAAACGTATGGGTCAGAGGTCAAAGGAAGACAATGTCCAATACTTTGGTCGGGTCTCCAGACTGCCAAAGGAAGACAGGCAGTTATTCACACATTTTCACACCTACGGCCAATTTAGAGTCTTCAATTAACCCGAGCTGCAGGTCTTTGGACTGTGGGAGGAAACCCACGCTGACACGGGGAGAACATGCAACTCCACACAGTTCAGCTGTGAGGTGTTGGCAACCACACCATTACATTACAGTCATTTAGCAGACGCTTTTATCCAAAGCGACTTACAATTCAGATTCTATCACACCGTAGGCACAGCTAAAGGAGCAATTTTGGGGTTAAGTGTCTTGCTCAAGGACACATCGACATGCGACTAGCGGAGCCGGGGATCGAACCGCCGACCCTCTGATTGAAGCACGGCCCTGCGCTCCACTTAGTCACAGGTCGCCCCGTGCAGCCCTGCACAGCCCCGCACAAATACACTAATAATCATCGGTTCAGCTTAAAGGACTCAGGGATTTTTAGTGTGCAGGGAAACGAAGAAAAGAGCTGCATATGATCTGGGTCTTGCCGGTTAGAAAGACCTGGATCCAGTGGACTGAGGACACCAGAGGAGACCCTGACCTGCTGGGCGGTCCGGAGAAAAGAGACGAAGGGTTGCAGCAGCTGCAGGTTTGAGTCGATCCTCCTGTTCCGACTCTGTAGCTCCTTCAAGACCAGATCAACTCGAACGGAGAATTCAGGACTCGGTGGACCGGTCAGGTCGGCAGCTGGAGGATCGAGCCGAGTTCTGGTCCGTGAACCCGCTCCGCCTCTCTTCAGCTGCTCCGTCAGGGCCTTCAGAGGGGACAGCTGTCTGCTGGTCTCACTGGGAGGCTGGGACCTGGTCTCGCTGGTGTGCAGAGCTCTGATCTGATCCAGGATCTGCTTCATGTTCTCTGCATCCTGACCTGCAGACTGGAGACAAACAAACACTGAAACCTTCACACAAATGTTATGTTATAAAGAAATAGAGTGAGTGTGTGTGTGTGTGTGTGTGTGCCTCAGCTTGTGTACGTAGCTGCAGGTGTGTGTTCAGAGTGTGTTCGGCTTCAGAAAGTTGCCGTCCTGCTTCAGAGCTGATAGACAACAAACTGCTGCTCTGCTGCAGCCAGCTGCTGATCTATGACGCGCACACACGCACACGCACACACACAAAGTTTTTCTGAAACTAAATATAATTTAATAAATAGATAAATATAAACTATATTAGAATGTTCTGTGTAGGTTGAAAGAGACAGAAAAGGTTAAATATTTGTTTCTGAGTCGAAACATTCAGTCGACATCGTTTAAATAAGATGTGAAATGTTCATTTATTAAATATATTATAGTTTATTGAATTAAATTCTCTGCAGGCCTTTGAACAACCATCAGCGGCCGTAGTTTGGTCCGCAGCCGTAGTTTGACAGTAAGAGGGAGGAGTCACCTTGTCCACCAGGTGTTCACATGACGACAGCAGCTGGAGCCTCCAATTGGTCGGGAGCGTTTGGTGGGCATGGCCTTCTCCACCAGGATTCTCCTTTCCCAGCATGCTCTGCTGCCCTGCTGCCTGCACACTACACCACAGAAGAAGAAGAAGAAGACAGTCATGATGATAAACACTGATGTTTCCTGTCTTCATCATGAGCTGGATCACAGAGATCTGACCTGGATCCAGACCGCTGGTCTCTGGTCTCCTCTGATCCGGATTCAGGCTGCACATCTAACCCAAATCTAGGGTACATGTCTGATCCTGGTCCTGGCATCTGGTCTAATCTGGATCCAGGCTGCAGGTCTCTGGTCTCCTCTGATCTAGAATCTGAATTCAGGCCTGATCTAGATGCAGGGTCCAGTTCTAATCTGGATCCTATCTGCATGCCTGGTTTTAATCCTGACTGGAGCTCTCTGGTCTCCTCTGATCTGGATCCAGGCTTCAGGTCTCTGGTCTCCTCTGATCCAGAATCTGACTTGAGGTCTGGTCTAGAATCAACCATCAGGTTTAATTTACATCCAGACTGCAGGTTTTTGGTGGCCTCTGGTGATCCAGACTTCAACTCTAATCTTGACTCGAACATTTTGTTCTCCTTTGATCTGGATCCAGGCTGCAGTTCTGATCTGGATCCAGGCTGCAGTTCTGATCCGGATTCAGGTTTCAGATATAATTTGGAACCTGACTCGAAGTTACTGGTCTCCTTTGATTTTGATCCAGGAGCCACGTCTCTGGTTCGTTCTGTTCTGGATCCAGGCCTCTCATCTGATCCGGATCCCTGTGTCTGGTCCGATCTGGATCCAGGCTGAAGGTCTCTGGTTCGTTCTGTTCTGGATTCTGACTCCAGGTCTGCATTCTCTGCTGATGTGGATCTAGATTGCAGGTCCTGGTCCAGGATCTTCCAGTCCTGTAGTGAGGACAAAGTATTTCATTGAGTACTGCAGTAAAACTGGTATAAATATTACTTCCTGTCTTACTGATGGAGGAAGTACTTCCTGAAGTAAAAGTACTAAAACTCAACATGAATATCTATTTTATATTCATAAACATTGCCTTCAAACTACTGGATTCATTCAAGTTTATCACCAACACTACATTTGACAGATTACATGATAATGTTATTGATACTCATTTTCACTGAGCAGAGCCTGAAGGCATCACGATGTAACTGAGCAGAGCCTGAAGGCATCACGATGTAACTGAGCAGAGTCTGAAGGCATCACGATGTAACTGAGCAGAGCCTGAAGGCATCACAATGTAACTGAGCAGAGCCTGAAGGCATCACGATGTAACTGAGCAGAGCCTGAAGGCATCACGATGTAACTGAGCAGAGCCTGAAGGCATCACGATGTAACCTAATGGACGTCTGTCTGTACCTCGTGTTCCTTCTTACGGACCATGATGCCGTTCTCCGCCTGTTGGAACTGCAGCCTAATGGCCTGGTCCGCCGTCCTCCTCCGGTCCTGCAGCGCCTCCACCAGATCCTCCAGCCTCAGAGCCACCCCCCTGCTGCACTGGGAACTCTGGGAAGAAGACGCAGCATCGGCATCAATCCACACAATCCAGTCAATCAAACAGACAGGTACTGTAAATACCTGACTGTCAGTGAAGTAGCCTCTAGATGCATGAAGACTGCAGCTTTACTTCTATAAACATATGGCATTCACCTCCTCCTCCTGCAGTCCTCCTCCTCTCCTCTGGAGGTCCTCGGTCCTCTTCAGCTGTCTGAGTTTCTGCAGCAGAACGCTACTGCTGGTTAAAACCTGCAGAGATTTTCCCAGAAGATCTGGAATCAAAACACAACGAAACAACGATGAAGATTATAACTAATAATAACTTATCACCACATTAGAACCTACAACAAACCAGTTCATCTAAAGCTTAAACCCGTTTGTCTAAAGTTTAAACCGGTTTATCTAAGGATCTAACGTTTAAACCAATTTATCTAACGTTTAAACCGGTTTATCTACAGCTGATCTACCTTTTTGTTTTCAACATGGCGACTCCTTAGCCAGCGGCTAACAGCTAACGATGCTAATGATGCTAACTACGATGAAAGTGCAGAAACCCCAACCTTAAAATCCAAGATGGCGCTCCAAGCAGCAACAGTAAACAAGCTGCAGTAATATACCTTTTATTAGCACTTATTTCTGACTTGGGTTAAGTCAGTCATGCATATATATAGCATAAATACTACTGACACTACGAATAATACTATGACTGGTTACCTCTCCTCAGAACGTTGTATGAGAGCTGAACCTCCGTCCGTCTGTCTGGTTTGAACTGTAGATCCTCCACCCTGTCCAGACAGACAGAAAACTGGAGACAGACAGAGAGATCGATAGATAGACAGACAAACAGAGAGAGAGAGACAGAGAGAGAGAGACAGACGGACAGAGAGAGAGAGACAGACAGACAGATAGAGAGAGAGAGACAGACAGACAGAGAGAGAGAGACAGATGGACAGACAGAGAGAGAGACAGATGGACAGACAGAGAGAGAGACAGATTGATAGATAGACAGACAGACAGAGAGAGAGATGTTAACAAACAGGTGTTGGTGGTTTCTCAGATGTGTTCAAAGTGTGGAAGTAAAACAGGAAGTGAAATATAAACATTGGTCAGGTGACATCTCATATTTAATGATGGAGGACACAGGAGGACACGTCTCTGGTTCACAGACTAAAATAGAAGCACAAAGCTCTTTGTTGGGACCGGTTTAAATAAAGGCTGCAGCAGGTGTTTCTAATAAAACGGATGCCTGCACCGCCTGAGGAACGTGAGGCTGAAATAAATTCCTCTTCTTGAACCACAAATTATAATCAATTACTACAAATATGAATCAGAACTGAACCACACTATACAGCAGGGCTACGACTGTGTGCTGGGGTTATCCTCTGGGGAGCAGGAATGGGATCAGGAAGGTTGTGAATGAAGTCGTTTCCTAACATCGTCCATGTTTCTAGAAGCTTCCTACCTCCTCAGCTCGGCTGTAGAAGTCTTTAGCCAGCATCAAGACTTCCTGTCGTCTCTGCAGCAGGCGGAGGAGCAGCGACCATCCTTCAGTCAGAGACGCCACCATGGCCTTGTGCAATTCCTCCTCTTCCTCCTGCTTCTTCGTCCTCTTGTGCTCCATCAGCCCTTCATCCCTCCCCCTCGTCCTCCTCAGCTGCTCTGTCTGTTGGTTCTTTTCCACCACAGCCAGAACCTCCCCCTCATGTTTCTGGAACAACAAGAACAGACTGTAGCATGCAGCATGGCTGTGTCTGGTCTGATTGGCGTACTCGGTGTGTCCGGTGTGTCTGCTGTATCTACTCTTTCCGTCTTCCGTTTGTACCTTGAGCTTCTCCATCAGCTGCTCTTGTTCCTGGATCAGAGTCTGGTTTTCTCTCTGGTTCGATCCGACCTCACAGAGACCTGGATGAACCTGGACCAGCTGGAGGCGGACCAGAGACCCACTCTGTGTACACACACAACTTTAGAAGTTCATCAAATGTTTGTTATGTAAATTATGATTATTATTATTAATAATATCAATAATAATAATATTTATTTATACTATTAGTATTAATAATAAAATATTCTTATTATTAATAACAATAATAATGAATCTGGTTGGAGTCAGTTAACTAGTTTGTTGTCACATTAAACTGTGAATATTATTTTGTTCTCCACACTGCGACATGTTGACGGCTTCAGGTCAGAAGCAGATGTGTGTGTGTGCGTGTGTGTGTTACATTCCTCAGGATGATACAGTATCTCTGGCATGTCGACCGAAAAAGACACAACGTGACGCGTGACCACACAAACACACACTTTAAAAACGACTAATAGCTCCTAAACTCACGCACGCACGCGCGCACACACAGTTCTATAACAGGAAACAAACAGCACGTGAACATAACAGCGACTGACCTCAGATCTCCTGAAGCCTCCAAAGGAACAAACACAGTTTCAAGACTTGACCCTGAAGAGTGTCTCCCTCCTGGTGAAGTTTGACAAGCTAAGTAGCTATTTAGCTCACTAGCTAGCCAGCTCTAGAGATGGACACGCTAGTTAGCTCACTAGCTAGCCAGATCTATAGATGGACACGCTAGTTGGCTCACTAGCTAGCCAGCTCCAGACATGGACACGCTAGTTAGCTCACTAGCTAGCCAGCTCTAGAGATGGACACGCTAGTTAGCTCACTAGCTAGCCAGCTCTAGAGATGGACACGATAGTTCGCTCACTAGCTAGCCAGCTCTAGAGATGGACACGCTAGTTAGCTCACTAGCTAGCCAGCTCTAGAGATGGACACGCTAGTTCGCTCACTAGCTAGCCAGATCTAGAGATGGACACGCTAGTTCGCTCACTAGCTAGCCAGATCTAGAGATGGACACGCTAGTTCGCTCACTAGCTAGCCAGCTCTAGAGATGGACACGATAGTTAGCTCACTAGCTAGCCAGCTCTAGAGATGGACACGCTAGTTCGCTCACTAGCTAGCCAGCTCTAGAGATGGACACGATAGTTAGCTCACTAGCTAGCCAGCTCTAGAGATGGACACGATAGTTAGCTCACTAGCTAGCCAGCTCTAGAGATGGACACGCTAGTTAGCTCACTAGCTAGCCAGCTCTAGAGATGGACACGCTAGTTCGCTCACTAGCCAGCTGTCCGTCTCCAGAGCTCCCGCCTGCTCTCCTCCTGGTCAACACCGTCTGCCAGCGGCAGGGCCTGCGGGGTACGCTAGCTAACGAGCTAATTCTTGTCTAATGTCTAATGTCTGATGAACAGAAGTGGTTTTGGTTTCATCAAAAGTGGGTTGTAAAACAATAGATGTGATCTGAATACGTCTCCCACCATCACGTCCTATAAGGAACCGTCCCTCAGACAAACCTTGAGTACAGAGACAACGATCAGCGATTGGCCGGCCTGGATGGCGATGGTACTCAGAGTGGTGACAGAGCGAGGAAGCTTCATGTTCCCTTCTCCTCCAGCCATCCTTCCCGTCTCCTCGGCCTCTCCGGCCGTCATCAACAAAGAAGATGAAGTTCTCTCTTCTTCTTCTGCGTCTCTTTAAATGTTTAAAGTCATCTTGAAGTTTCACAGTCCCTGAACCAGTTTGTCGAGTCTGGTTCCCATTGAAAACGCAGGTTCTGGTGCTGGTGTTGTTGGGAGGTTCCTGTTCTTTAGTGTCCTACAGAACACGGAGAACATAAATGAATCAACAGTGAGATGATTGGGAGGTTCCTGTTCTTTAGTGTCCTGACTTTATGACTCCTTTAACACACATGTCCCATCACTTCAACCTCCTGACAGTTATCCTATGACTCTATGACACGATAACTTTAGCTAACATTAGCTCAATGGCTAAAGAGCCTGAACCAGATTTAGATGAAACCTGATCCTGGTCTGGATGTGACCTCGCAGCAGTTAGTCATGAAGAGACTTCACAGCAGGAGTCTCTAAATATAATGTCATGTTGAAGGAAATGAATGTCATGAACAAGTTGTTTTAAAGTACTCTCTTAAAATACTGATCACAGTTAAAGGGACAGTAGTGATGTTCTAAAGTGGGGTCCTATGAGTTATCTAGCTACCTAACTTAGTTTTATTCCACGTTGACGCTGGCTTTAAAAGTGTCTTTAAGTTCTTAAACTGCAGTAATTAAAGATCTGAATACGTCTCCCACCATCTAGCTAGCTAGCTAAATTAGCTATGTTCCAGATGTAATGTAATCTTAGCTGATGTGTTTTATCAGCATCTCTTTTTAGAAAGTGAGACCAGTTGTTGGTGTGAAAACATTCTGGTACCAAACACACAGGAATCGTGGCTTTAGCGAGAGACACTGAGGACAGTTTTGGTTTTGTAGTCTTAATAATTACATATTTTCACTGTCTTATGCTTGATCAATTATCTTTAAAAAAACACAAACATATGTATAATTCATGGAACACTTCAAAATAGTTTAAATAATTATGTGTCTCTCCTTGTTGACTATCTTACATATTTTTAGTGAAATAAGGTTTAGCAGCTTCAGCTCCTTCAGTCATGAAGGTAAAAAGGTGAATATATTGTAAATAGAACTGATTATTTTCATTGCTAGTTATTAGTTATTAACGTGTCATAAATTTGTTATTAATGCACCATAAATGAGTTAACGCACCATAAATGAGTTAACTCACGTCATAAATGACTTAACGCGTCATAAATGACTTAACGCGTCATAAATGAGTTATTAATGCACCATAAATGAGTTATTAATGCACCATACATGAGTTATTAAGGTGTTATAAATAAGTTATTAACTCGTCATAAATGAGTTAACGCATCATAAATGAGTTATTAACGCGTCATAAATGAGTTATTAACGCTTCATAAATGAGTTATTAACGCTTCATAAATGAGTTATCAATGCTTCATAAATGAGTTAATGCTTCGTAAATGAGTTATTAACACGTTATAAATGAGTTATAAATGCTTCATAAATGAGTTAATGCTTCGTAAATGAGTTATTAACGCGTTATAAATGAGTCATAAATGAGTTATTAATCCATCATAGACCAGTTAAGAGACATTCATTATAAATCTATTTATATTATCTATAACATCTCTGTCCAGTGATTATTGCGTTTGGTAGTAATACTGTTATAAATGTTAGTTATGATTAATAAGTTATTAATAAGTGACTGACCACCCAAAAGTTTGAAATACTAGTTCATCAGTAAATGATTAAAAGTGTTCTGTTCTTATTTATGTTTATAATGTTAACAATATTAGAAACAATCCTTTAAGAGAAGCAGGAACATTTAAATAAAATTAATGTAAAGTAACTGATAACGCTGCCTGTTCTTTACACAAAATTATAAAATATCAACTATCTTTCAACTACTATTCAGCTTCTATATAAATATATACATTTATATATAAATATTTGTTGTTTTTTGTTTCACTGAGAAACAAAAAGTGCTGACGGGTTGTAAAATGTTTTCACCATTTATTTAATTCACTTTGAACACATTTACTCCTCTTTAAAGTTTGTGATATATTTATACATAAATACATAAAGTAAACAGTACCTGAGACACGTTCATGGAGATCAGGACGTTACCCTGCCGACACTGTGGAGAGAAGTCAGCCGAGAGACTCAGAGAGAGAGAGCGAGCAAGAGAGAGAGAGCGAGCAAGAGGGAGAGAGAGAGCGAGCGAGCGAGCGAGAGAAATAAAGAGGGAGAGAAAGAGAGGTGAGAGCAAAAGAAAGAGAAAGGAGAGAGAAAGAGGGAGAGAGAGAGAAAGGGGGAGAGTTGTTAGAAATAGCTTCCAGTAGATTATCAGTGTGCTGAATGACAGACGTCTGTCGTCCAGAAACAAAGAGAGACACATTCAAACACCTCATCACAGATTAACTTTGCAGTATTCAGTCTGAACAAAGTACACGAAGTACACGTATTGAAGTAGAAGTATTTTACCCGAGTATTTCCATGGGAGGATCCAGTTAGAGAGCCGTCAGCGCCTCCTGCAGGCGGCTCAGAGCATCACAACAGAGACAAGTAGAAGCTCCTGATGAACACTTTTTTTTAATTGAGCTTCATATAAAACACACAGCTGACCTCTGACCTTCACATGAGCTGGACTGGAGGATTATGGGAAACGTAGTGTGTCAAAACAGAATAGAAATACAACACAGTAACTCACTCATTGACCTTTAAACTGGCTCATTACTTTAATCATTTTAATAACTGATCAACGTTTGTTGCGACTTTTAAAAAGTGCGTAAACTCAAATGAGTCGCGAGGAGTTCAGGGTCCCTCTGGACAAACCCTCCTGCTGGAGGTACTTTGTATAAAACTACAATATCAAAATGTATTATTTATATATTCTGTGAATCTCAGAGTTCTGTTCATTTGGTCCGGAGAAACACTGAAGACTCATTGTTTTTAGGATTCAGGCGTTACGATTGGCTGAGGGACAACCTAAGCTCCTCCTCCCTCAGGCTGCGGTCCAATCGCTGCGTCTCAGACTCCAGGACGGACGGGATTGGACGGCGCGTGACCTCGGCCAGCGAATCAGTGAGGTCGTGTCTCAGAGAGATCAGCCATTGGCTGTTCCTGGAGGACTGCTGGATAAACTCCGCCCTCTGCTGCTGGTCGGCGGCCCATGAGAGATGGAGCTGAGTCACCTGAGAGGGAGGAGACACGGTGACATCATCAGCACCCACCTGACAAAAAAAAAAAAAACACCTGACACTCTTCTTCTGTGGTGCTCTCACCTGGTCCTCCAGCTCCCTCACTCTGCTCCTCAGGCGCTCTTGTTCTGTAGTGTCTGCAGGCTCCTGAACAAACAGCACAGCATTTTATACACACACTCACATGTCCGTCTGTCCGTCTGTCCGTCTGTCCGTCCGTCCCTCACCTGAGATCTGCTGCTGTCATTCAGCTGCTGTCTGAACCGCCAACGCTCCGCCTCCACCTGAAACACACAAACAACAACACGCAGTCTCAGAGTGTGTACGTGTCTCACTGTGTGTCTCAGTAAGTATGTACCTGTCTCACTGTGTGTCTCTCAGTGAGTGTGTACGTGT